GGCTTCAGATGGGACCAGGATCTGTCCACATATACACACCCATGGGCTGCAATTTGGCTAATGTGGCTGTTATCAGCTGTGAAACTGGCCCGGGGGCTTTGTGAGCCAGAATTTGTATGTTTAGGAGCTACATGAAGAGCCATATGCAAGAGCCACACCACCCAATTAAATGACCATGGGCCCTTGGGAGCAATGGGGGCTGAGAGCACTTGCCCCCAGGAGTCAGGGGGCAAGTGCTGTGTGACCTTGACTAAACCCCTTCCTTCTCTGTTTGGAAAGAGGGAGGATCAGAAATTGGACAAGAGTCTTGCTACAATCCACCCTTTCCCATAAAATTGGCTCTCTTGGTTTCATCCAAAGCATATGAGGGGTTCAGCTGACCCTTGAATACAGGTGTCCAGACTATCTCCCAGTCTCAGTTCTCAGACCAGCATGAGGCCCATCAGACCAGGTCTGGCCTTGAGTAGCTCTCCATGTGGCTTCTGAGTTGGGACTGTGGCTTCAAATGCCCAGGCCTTGGCCAAATGGGATGGTACCTCCAGAGCCACTGAGATCTCTCCTCTGCAGTGGGGTCCTGGGCCCAGACTGGATGGGGACAGGGTCAAGGGCTCCAGTTGGCCACTTCAGCTTTAGGGACCATGGGGTTGAGAATGCCAGGAATAACCCAATTTTATCCCAGCCACACAGGCCAGTCCACATACAGCAGCAGGGGCTGGGCACTGACTGCCAGGTGCTGGAAGGAGCCAAACCCTCCACAGCTTACCCACAGGGGCCAGGTCCGTTAGCTCGGAGTCAGGGTCTGCTGTGGTCACTTCACAGATGTAGGACCTGCATCCCAGAGAGTGCTCACCCTCTCACCCTGCTCATCCTCATGTACTCAAGGGGTGCTGGGCCAGCCACGTAACTCCATGGGGGCCAGGGCCAGGCTGGGATCCAGTCTCCGAGATCCTCTCTGAAGACCTGGGTGGCACCCATGCCACTAGAGATGGGCCATGGAGGCCGGCCTTGTTACCGTCCCCACCTGCTTCTAATGCCCAGGCCACCAATTCATCATCCTACAGTTCTGGAAGTCAGGAACCCCCAATCAGTTTTACTGGGCTAAAATCCAGGTGTCGGCAAAATTGCATTCCTTCTGGAGGCTCGAGGGGAGAACCCATTTCCTTGCCTTTTCGGCATCTAGAGGCTGCGTGTGTTCCTTGGCTCATGCCGCTTTCCTCCAGCAGTGGCATCACTCTGACCTCTGCTTCCGTCGTCACATCTTCTCTCACTGACACTCCTGCCTCCCTCTTATGAGGACCCTTGTGATTACACTGAGCCCGCCTGAATAATCCAGGATAATCTTTCCATCTCAAGATCCTTAACTTCGCATCTCTTTTGCCATGTAAGGTAACATAGTCACAGGTCTGGGGGATTAGGACTTAGGCATCTTTGGGGCCGTTATTTTGTCTATCACAGGAGGAGTAGGGTTGCTTTGCCAGTCCCAAGCCCCGTCCACAGGGCTTGTCCAGGACGGAGGGATCATGAGGGGTGATCAGGCCACTGTTCTGGCCAACACTTTGGCTGGGGGCTGGCTGGGGGCTGGCCGGAACCCAGAGCTCCAGGAAACCTGGCGCCTGCCCGTTGATGCCAAGGACAGCCTGTGCTCCTGGCGAGGCCACCATGCAGAGATCAGGTGCACTTGATCCCTGGAAGCGGCCATGGCTCAACTCGAACAGCTGCCTGGCTCGAGTGGGAGGCAGGCCTTCATGGCTTCCTCTCCCTGCTGACCGGAATATGTGAGAGCTGCTGTCAGGTCAGATGTGAGCCACATGGGAAGTTCCATCTCCATTCTAGAAAATGCACACACTGTCGGCTTATTTGTGGACATTTACTGAGCTTGGGGTATGCCAGACCTACGTGGAGCCCTAGAGAGACGAAGGGACAGGGTTTCCAAATGCAAGGGGCAGAATTTCATTGGTTCTGGCAGAAGCTTGGGCTAGGGGCTGGCGTGGAGAACAGGGAGGTCAGGGTGGTGTTCCAGAGAAGGTAGTTTGTGTTGGAGCTTGAAGAAGAGGATGATTCGGACGGCAGTGGTGGGCAAGGGCACTCCTGATGGATACTCTGGCTGGGCAAAGGGAATGCGGCGTGGCTGGGGACTGGAGTTCTGCAGGGGAGCTGGAGTCCAGGGCAGTGGAGGAAAGAATCCAAAGAGAAACAGGGACAAAGGGCCTGCAGAGGCTGAAGCAGTCTTCCGAGCCTGGTGGCAGTGGAGCCCTATGTTCTGACGACTTACTCAGCCCTGAGGGGCCTTGAGAGGGGTCCCCAGGGCCTTTCCCATAGCCATCCTCCACCTCTTCAGACCTGGGCCCCGCAGGACAGACACCACACTCGGGTCATGGGGAGCCAGCCAAGGGCAGGGATTGAGAACTTGACAGCCCAGGGCCCACGTGGGGGTAGGGAAGAACAGAAAAGGGTTTGGGGGACACATTTCAATAAAGCAGCCAGATGGGCCTTGTGGAGAAATCCACGGGCAGCTGGGAAAAGCATCCAACTGTGAGGCAAAGCCTCAGTTTTCTCAGCTGTCGGGAGAAGGAATGGAATTGCTCTTCCAGAGAACATGAATCAGAGACTTCTACGCCCTCTGCCCACGCCCTGAGCTCTGGCTGAAGGAGGCTGGGCGGGCAGCAGGCAGGTCCCTCAAGGCCTCAGAGGCCTGGACTCCACCATCAGCCCCATGTCCTCCTGCTGCTCTGCCTCCGGGGCTCCGAGTCGCTGGCTCTGGCCCCAGGAAGGAGAGAAGAGAGAGCAGGTGAGCCTGGCTCTCCCTAGGCTGGAGCCACTGGCTGCTCTGGCCTGGACCTCGGGGCACTCAGGCCCTGGTGAGGAGGAAGAGGAGGGGCTGAGGGGAGATCTGGGCTGCCAGGCGACCAGCCTCTCTGTGGCTCCATCTCCAGAGGGCAGAGAGAAGTCAAGAGCCCAGAACCAAAACCCCTGCTTCCCCTTCCCTCCAGACAGCCGTGTCTCTGCCTGCCTTGTGTTGGTGCCGGGTACCAGGCAGGTACCTGAGGGTACAGGGCCCTCCCTGTCTGTCCTCCAAGATGGGCAATGAAAACACAATGCCGCATGAACGTGCATCCCACAGGCTCCTCACAACCATCCTGTAAGATCAAGCACTTGGTCCCTTTTTTTAGGGTTGGAACCCAAGGCCGAGGGAGGTGAGGTCATCTGCCCTAGGTCGCAACCTGGTGAGGGGCAGGTGCCAGGATCTGCTCCCAGGCTGGTGTGGCTCCAACGTCGGAGCTCCATGTCCAAAGCGCCACAGAGCCAGTGATGGCCGGCTTGAGACCCCACCCTGCCAGTCCACTTGCCTGGACCTCTCCCAGGGGAGTCAAGCCTCACGGTTTTCTGGAAAGAAAGTTGTCTCCAAGGGCGATTCCTGCTTCAGTGACCCCAGATGCCCCTCCACTGTCACTCCCCATCATTATGCTCTGTTGGGGTGCCACACCCACATGCTTGCCAAAGCCTCCCCTGATGTGATGGGCCTGAGGCCAGGAGGGTGAGAGCATGAGGGAAGCCAGCACTGGCTGAGGTGTGGCCCAGGCTGTGGGACAAGGGGACACCAGACTGCTGGGTCAGGGAAGATGCCACTGAAGGCAAGAAGACCTGAAGGGCACAGGCAGGAGGAGAGAAAGGGCAACGCTGGTGAGGACCTTGGCAGGCAAAGGTCTAAGAGCACAGGGGGCTCGGAAAGCTGGGAGCCTCACTCTGGCTGTGTCCCCGCCACCACCCTCCCAGGTTCCTTCTGCAACAACCATGAGGTGGAATCCCTGGCCCCCCCTCAAAGGAAGCCAGGGGCAGCTTGGGGGCCATGCAGCTGGGGCCGGGCAAGGGGCAAGATACCAGGGCCCTGGGAGCTGCAGTGTGGCCTCTGCTAAGGCAAAAGTGTCGCCCACCCACAGCAGGGGGGTCACTCAGGCCTGGTATGACCCCAGCAACACAGACTCCCCAAAGGCAGGGACCTAATTTCCCGTCTCCACTTGGCCACCTCCCATCATGGGACCTCAGGTGGCCACTTCTTCTGCCTGGGAGTGGCACTCAGACGCCAGCTACACACTCCACCTGGCTGACTGGGAGTAAACTCAGGATGCCACATCGCTCTGGCCCTGGAACCGGAAGTGCCAGCTTCCCGTAAGGAAAGGAGCTGCCCAAGGTCCTATAAGACACAGCCCCAGACCCCAGATCCTGGCTCCAGCAGAGAATGCTGCCACCGACCACACTGCCTCTGGCCACTGCACCACCAGGTGAGGTCCTTGAGAGTGCTGGGGGGCGAGGGAGGGGGGAGTCTGGCAGAATGAACCGGCCTGGTCTCCCACGTCCCTGAGGACCCATCCTGATGCAGGCTCACACCAGCACCTGCCAACCTAGAAGTTTCCTGTCACTGTGGACGGAAGGGTTGGCCCTCCAGGCCTCCGGGCAGCCACAAGTCCGCACAGAGCAGAGCTGGGGTGGAGGTCGCACCCTGGGGCCCTATCTCGGCTTCTCACTCTCCCCAGCCCCAACCAAGGACAGATGGCTGAGCTGAAACCCCAAGACCGACTTGGAAGGGATGTCTTAGCTACAAGCTAAGGGAATAAAAAGTAAACACAAGCCCTGTTCACTCCTCACTGGCTCAAGCCCTCAGTTAAATGAATGTGGATATGTGACCCCAAACTGTACAACAAGGACCCTCAGCCCCGACCCCTCCAGAAAGCAGGCTGCCACCCCTAGCTGAAGCTGAGGTTACTGTGCTTAGCACCTCGGCCCAGGCAGGGAAGCGTGTGGAAGCACACGCGGGGCAGTGGAGGGCTATTAACCCTCAGGAGTGAGTGCTCAGCGCCAAGCCCCTGCCATCCAAGACCAGGAGCTGCTCTCCCATGCCGCACTGCTGCGACAGAAGGAAGCTTTCACCCCCAGCACTGCCTGGGGTCAAGGGGTCAGGGGACCCACAAATCACAGTAACAAAACATTAGGTCACCACTGTCGGCCTCTCGACGCTTTATTGGCCATATCGCCCAACATCCCCAGAGCAGTTCCACCCACAGAGACACTGAGCAACCTGCCGTGGCCACACTGATGTGACGGAGCCAGACTCGGAACCCGGGTCTGCTCAGCTCCTGAGCCGGACTGCAGATGCCCTTGCTCTTTGCTGCCCCAGGAAGGACACCCTGTCCTGGCTTCTGCCCCTAAGTCTCCTAGAAATGTAGAACATGGGGGATCCCAGAGCCATAGGAAATGCCACACGCATCTGGGGTTCTGGAAGGCACCATCCACCTCCTTCCAAGTAGCATTCCAGGAAGAAGTGTCAACCAGGCACTCTGGCAGCCTGGGGCCCTGGCCAGGCATCTGCAGGGCAGCCACGCTGTGGCCCAGACCTCTGGATATGCAGGAACCGGGACCTAAGGAGACAGGGACAAGGGGCCAGTCACTGCCTGGGCCCCAGGGGATCAGCAGGAAGTGGGAACAGCACATTCTCCCTACAGCCAGAGCTGTGAGGGTCTGAGCGGAAGGACCAATGTGGCTCTGGGGGCTACAGGGAGGTAGAGTCTCACCTTCCACAGAAGTCCTTGCGCACAGCCACGAGATCGAGGGACAGGTCAGGCCGGCTCTGAAGCCAGCCACCGACGAGCTCAGGGTGTCTTGGGTCCACTTCTAAAAAGATGCTTCTACATGGGAGAGAAATAGGTCAGCTCAACCGAGCAGGGCTGGGACCTGCACTTTTGGGTTTCCTGGGCTGGGAGGGGTGGGGGCAGAATGACGGCCAGGGCAGGCCCAGCACACACCAGGAGGGGTGAGATTGCTGGGGATAGAACCAGGAGACCCACCGCCCCATCCATACCCAGAGTCCTTCAGCAGCCGAGGGGCCAGGGCCAGGATGTGTGTGATGATGTCCATGCCCTCCTCCCCTCCGTCCAGGGCTGCTGGGTCTTCATAGCTGAAGGGGAAGCAGTGGGAGGTGAGAGCCTGGGACACAGGGGTGTCTGAAAAGCATGGAAACCTGAGCAGGGCCTCCATGGAGGGGGCCCCATGGGACTCACACTCTGGGCTGAAAGGAAAATCTAAGGACACAGAGGAGGAGGCCCCCAAATTGACAGCAGCTCCGATTCCTCTACTACCTCCTACAGGAATTGCCACACATGCTCAGTGAATCCCACTGACTGACAGTCTCCAGGGCATGAGTGTCCCCCAACAAGGCTGTTTCTATTCTTGGTCTGGGGAGGCCTGGAGCTGGCCGTGACCACCCTTGAGAGCCCAAAAAGGCAGAGCCAGTACCCTGACCCACACTACCACTGCCTCGTCTGGGGGCTCTCGGGCTACCCCTGGTTCTCAGCCCATCTGATAGCAGGATGGCTCATTGCAAAGCCTGGAGTAGAGTCTTAGTCCCAGCTTTCCTGCTAAGCTCCCACATGACCTTGGACAAGGCACCTTCCCTCTCTGGGCCTCAGTCTTCTGTAAAATGACACACCCATCTAAGCCCCTATGTATTCTGCACTGCATCTGATATTTTAGTCATCGCTGAGTCCTCCCAAGGCCCTGCAAAGCTCTACCACTTCCCCTTCAGAGGCAGGAGACCGAGGCTCACAAAGGTTCAGTGGTCGTCGTAAGTGGGAAGGCAGCAGCTGAACTCAAGTAGGTCTGTGGGCTCTAGAGTGAGCGGCTCTTTCAACACCACTGCCCTCTCAGCCCTCCCCCAACCTTCCCCATCCCTCCGACCGCTGTGGTCCCCCAGGGCAGACCCATTCCACTAGGCCTTCTCAGGCCTGGCCTCCCTGACCCACCCCACCCCGCACCTGAGGATCTCAGGGGCCAGCTGCTCCATGTCCTGATGGAAGACATACGGAGGGTTGCTGACGACCAGGTCCATGGGGCCCCAGGGTAAAAGGTGTGCCCAGCTGCCCTCTGTGGTCAAAGGGAACACACAGCAGAGAATGGGAGGTGAAACGTGGTAGCTCCACCCACCAGCATGTCCCTTGGGTGTCCTTCTCCCCAAGCCATCCTTGTCTCTGGACCTGATAAGCTGGACTTGCAGATTAGTACCCAGCCAGCAGCCTGGCCAGGAATGTGTGCACTCTGACATGGCAGCTCTTTACCGAGAATGTCCTTGCCTTCCCTGCTTCCTGTCCAAACCTCCTCAGTAAGCAAATGCCACCTTCAGGAAGCCCTCTCTGATCGCCTGGGCAAAGCAAGAGCCTCTGTCCTCTGTAGCCCCACGGGCTTCCCACACTCTGCCTCACAGCCAACATGGACTGAGTGTATGGAGGGCAGGCCTGGCCTCAGTTGATTCCTGGTGGCTCTGTTTACAGGTCCCACGCTGTGCCAGGCACTATACCAGGTATATCACATTCCATGGAGGGGGCACATAAGGCTCAAGGATCCTACAGGTACATACGTGATGGAGACAAAACTAGAGCCAGAACCTTGAGAAGACTGTAAAGGCTGTGGCCGAGCCATGCCGTGCCTGGGCCAGGTGGGGACAGAGGGGCACTCAAGTATTTTGGCTTTCTCTTGAGCTTCTGCTTATCTCTTGACAACAAGCAAGCCCCAGATAACTCATTAGATATGGGGGATTTGGAAAATAAGAAAGACCCTGTGTCAGGTCAACCCAGGAAGCAATGGAGACTTGCCTGTCCTCAGCAAGGACTGGTCTGAGATACCTTCTCTTTGTGTGTGCATGTGTGTGTGCACGTGTGTGTGCACATGTGTGTGTGCATGTGTGTGTGCACATGTGTGTGTGTGTGCATGTGTGAATAAATGTCAGGACGCTCTCCCTCCAGCTCTGCAGAGTGCCTCATCCACCCAGCAGCACCTGTCCCCAGGATCCCCACCCCAGAGAAGATGGGTGGGGAAGGTACCTGAGGTCACATCAAGGGGGACTATCCGAATCCTGTCCTGCAACTGAAGCCTGGAGAGATGGGAAGGTAAGGTGAGTATGGAGCACAGACTTCTACCCTTAGCTACAAGTACTGGGAGAATAAAGCCTCCATGGGCCACAAGATACCTGGTGCCTACCACCCATTCATAACCCTGAGGGAGCCACGCCAGGCCACCCCCAGTGCCTCCCGTTCCTTGGGAGTAGACATCAGTGGGTTTGGTAGCTGGATAGGGGCTGAGATCAGGCCCCAAGTCCAGCTCCCTCCACCCTGACCCTCTGGTCCCCAGCCCACCTACCTCTGAGCATTCTCACGGGTCAGGCAGATGGCGTCTTCTCCCTTATCCACAGCAATGACTCGACTCTGCCCCAAGAACGAATGAAGGGTATGTGGAAGGCAGGGTGCCACGAGAGGCCAGGCCCAGGGACCAGACCCCTCCCCCAACCCCACTAGAAAGGAGGGAAATACCCCCAGTTTGCCCCTCTCTTCAGCCAGGGTCTGGCCAGACAGAAGGAGATGGGAGTTAGAGGCTGCGCCCACGGTAGGCTGGGGGCAGTCCTGTCCTTCTGTGTCTGGTCACTTCGCCCAAGTGCTTCCAGCAGAGACGGGTGGGCAGGGACAGTGAGTACCAGTCAGTCTACCTGGGGTGGGGTGGAGGGGTGCAGAGGGGGCTCACCTGGGGGAGCTGGCTCAGCAGGCTGAGGGAGATGGCTCCCGACCCACAGCCCACCTCTAGGATGAGGGGCCCACCTTGTGCTCCCACCGCATGCGGCCTCTGGGCCACCTCCTCCAGCACCCATTCAACCAGCCCCTGCAAGATAGAGGAGTAGGGGTTACAGTTGGTGCCGACCTGGCCCTAAGGGTCTTGACACAGAGACCCAAGCATAGTTAGCCCCTGGATGAACGCAGAAGTGGGGACAACTAAAGCCAGACTGAATTTCATGTCTCCTGGGGCCATGGGCAGGTCACTGTGCCTCTCCATGCTTCCGTGTCCCCATCTGTAAACTTGGGCACACTGAGGATAACCCACCTTGTCAGGGGGTGGTGGGGAGTAAGCAACCACACTTGTGAAGTTTATGGTTAGCATTCAATAAACGCCAGCTAAATCCTTCAGAGATCCTCCGTCCTGCGCTCACATAAGTGCTAAGAACCATGCCTAATGGACTGAGGCCACTCCCTCTATGCTTGGTCCTGATTCCAGAGCTTTTCCTAGATTCATCTGTTGAGTCCTCACAACTGGCCCAAGGGTCAAGGCCCCGCCTGGAGCCTGGCACGCACCTCATGATGGCCAATTATCAGGGGCTAGGTGCCCCCAGCTTCCTCAGAGAGCTGAGCTTAGGAGGCACCCAGGGAGGCTCCTAGGCCAAAGGGACACAGACTTGTCTCTGTGGGGGAGTGAGTCCTGCCTGAACCCCATATCTGAAGGGGGCTGTGGCAAACACAGGGCATGGGGTAAGTGGGCATGGCATGGCGGGAGCTGCCTGATTACACTGTACTCACTTTGGCAGCAGGGGCACACTTTCAGACACTGTCACTTCAGAAACAACAGGGTTTCGAGTCTCATCCTGCAAAGACTGTGCATGAAGCCAACACAGAGTGTACGTGAGGATGGAACCTGCTGCTGCCCCATGGTCAAGTGTTTCTAACCAGCAGTAGAGTCAGGGGCCCAAGTAGCCAGGCACGGAGAAGAGAAAGGGCAGTGGCCCCTTCCAAAGGCACGCCTTGGGATGAGGACAGGAGAGACACCCCGCCCCCAGAGGCTTGGGACTCCTGCGGTCCCAAGTAGGGCTGGCTCAGTGAGTGGGGAAAGGGGTCAGCAAGGGGGTGCTTCCCTCATCTGAAAAGAGGTCCACCTCCTCCAGGCAGATTTCCTCAACCCCCCACCAGGCTCTCTCTGCCATGGCTTTTCTCACCAGGAGTCTAGGGTCTAAAATGGGGTCCTCCTCCCCCACCAGGCTGCAAGGTCCATGACGGGAAGACCAGGAGTCTAAGTCATCAGAGTGTCCCACATGGGCAGGGCTTAGCCCACAGAAGAGCCTCTTGACCACTTCCAAGTGCTGGGCAAGCTCTCAGTGGCCGTGGGAAGCTGCTCTCTGAGTCTTAGACCCCAGGTGCCCCCAAACCTATTGACCATTGTCAATAGTCAGGCCCCAGACCACTCAGACTCACTTTCCACATAAGCTCCTCATTGATAAGTCCCAGAAGCAGTTCACCCTGCTGGGCACCCCAACCCCAGGAGCAAAGCTCACCTGTCCCCAGTGTAACAAGTCCAAGGCAGGTAGAACTTGACCAGTGGGTCCAAACTTTCCTGTCCCAAGCCCCTTCCACACCAAACAAGCTACTGCCTGTGGGTGAGGCAGCCTGGCTCCAGCCAAGAGGGTGGGAACCAGCCCCATGCCAAGCACTACCAGAGACTTGGGGGTGCTGGCAGCAAGCTAGGCCCACAGCGCTGGGACGGGCACAGAGCGAGCAGTCTTGGGCTGTGGCTGAGAGCCTGCGGTCTCGGTAGTGAGGCCACATACTGAGCGGCCGGGAGGATGGCTAAGGCTGGTCAGGGGTGTGAGCTTCTCTTGGTTTCCTGGCCACAGACAGACCTACCCTGGCTGGAGAATGACCCCTCAGCCAACCACACTGGCCAGCCACCTCACAGACACCCCCAACCTCAAAGACACACACCACATATGTGACTGGCCACCCTGGGCTGGGTGTGAAGCTAAGAGACTGGGCACCCACCACCACCAGTGCCTCCTGACCTCTCTCTTACACTCCAGGCCACAAGTGTGTGTGGGGGGGGGAGGGGTGGCGATCACCCCCAGGAAGTCCAGAATCTCTTTCTTCCTCACCCACTGCAGAGCCTCCCTCAGCACCGTGCTGGTGGCTCCTTGGGGGAGGCTGAAAGCCGAGCTGGTCACAGGCCCAGGGCACCTTTCCCAGGTGAACAAGGGGAGAATCCAAGAACACAGTCGGGCGGGAGGCAGAAGGGCATGTGGAAAGGAGGCAGAGAGCAGGCAGCTGTCAGCTCTGCCTGGAGCCACGGCCTCCACAGGACTCTGCACCCCCTCAAGGGGCTGGCCCAAGGCCTCAGCAGGACCTGAGGGCCACAGGCACCCTCTGTGGGGCAGCCCCAGGGTAGTGGCATTGCCTCCCTCAAGCCAATCAGACAAGGCACACAGCCTCGCTCACCAATCTGGGGGAATGGCTCCCGCTCATAGCCTTGCGTTTCCTACTGTATAGGCCGGGCCTGAGCTGCCTTCCCCCCCCTCTCCCACCCCCAGGGAAAACCCAACTCGTCAGGCCTCACGCCTACCACTTTGTTTCAGACTTCTGCATCCATTATCAGAAACCGCCTTTCAATGGCTGGAGAGAACGCAAGCACCACAATCCTTCCCCTGCACCCACTCTCCCCACTCCCTGCCACAGGCCACGTCCTCTTAAGTTCTTGGTAAGGCACCCCTCAATGTGACTTCACATTGGGGTGAGCCTGGCAAGTTCTGAGAAATGTCTGTACAGTGAGGCGAGGACCCAGCCTCCCAACCGCAGCCCCTCCCCCCCACCCCCATCCCCACCACAGCAGAGCTGCTTTCCTGGCCCAGACCCAGCCAGGAAAGAGGGGGGCCCACATGGGAGCCAGAAGTCTATACTCAGAACCCTGGAACACATGGTTGGTGCCAGGTCAACTCTAAGGGGACCCAAAGGTCATCATGGTAGCTTTCCTTCCATGCCCTGACCCTTGGCAGCCTAGGGGAATAGGGAGTGACCTCTTGGCTAGAGGTCACATGCTTGGGGGAGCCACAGGGTACTCTCCAAAAAGGCTGTGGGTAGCAGGCCACATCCCACTCTGGGTTGCCGCACCCCTTGCCAACCCAGCCAATCCCAGATGAAACAGCCCCATGTTACATAGGGAGCCCAAATTCCGGAGTCAGGGTGTCCGAGTGCTGCCCCCATGATCCGCCGTGTGACTTCAGCAAGGTCTCAAATTCCCTAGTATCCCTGCCCTGACACTGTATAGTAAGGTGAGAACCTGGCCTCCCCACCGCATGATGCGGGAGTGAGTGGGGTGAGAGGATTTCTTGGCTGGGGGAGAGACTGGGAAAGTAAGACAGGATTCTGCGTCTTTGGCTGGGGCATGTAGACAAGGCCTAATCTTTCCCAGGAATGTTTGTGTGCCTCGATGCCTTTCTAGAAACATCCCTTCTCAGAACCTGGTGCCCTCTAGCTTGCCCACTGGCCCCACCCAGCCCCATATGCCTGCTCTGCTCTGGCTCCGGCTCCCAGCTCTGCCACCTACGAGGTCAAAGAGAAGCCCAAGAAAGGCCATCGAAAGCATCTCTCCCAGGATCAGGGTGCCTGGCCAAGGGACAGCATGCTGGGGCCACACACTCCCTAGTCCTAGTAATTTGAGGGACAGAGGTGATTACCTGACCAGATAGATCTAAAAGGACCACCAAGTCACAGACTCCCTGGTCTGGAAGCCTAACTCTCTCCTCATCTGGACCCAGAGGGAACAGTGACCTGCCCAAGGTCACATAGCTGTACCAGGCCTTGAGGCGGCCAGCTGGAGCCCTCTCCACTTCACCTATGCCTCCTGAGGAGGAGGGCATTCGTTTCCCATGGGTTGGGTAGGCCATGGGCCCAAGGGACAACTCCTAGGAAAATGACAGAACAGGCTCAGCACTTGATAGGCAGCATTAGTTGGGGCACCCCGAACCACTGCCAACCCTAGGGTATGAAGACAGTCAAGGAGGCCAGCAGGAGGCCTGTCCTCTGCGCCCCACCTACCCAGCCCGCCAAGACACAACCAGTTTGGAAGGGCACTGCCTCTAACCATAGCAGCCATGGGGCCCCAGCGCCCCCTAGAGGAAGTCTGGCGCTCTGAACCCCACCCTCATCCGCATTCTGCTCTGTCATGGTGACATACCTACCTCTGTTTCCGGCCGAGGTATGAACACTGGGGGTGCCATCTTCAGACTGAGCCCCTGAAAGTCCCACTCACCAAGGATGTACTGCACAGGCATCCTGCAGAGGGGGTGGCTAGGTCATCACCAGTGCCCAAGGCAGGACCAAGAGGTCCATGCCTGGGTTGAGGAATAACACTGGTGGCTGAAAGCGTAAGGTAGGGTCATGTCTCCTGTGCCATGGGGACTCCTAGCCAAGGCCTTCTGTCCCTCCCTTCTTCCTGTTTATCACCCTGACCTCGTCACTGCCCCATCCCAACACCTTCCCAGTCCTTGTCCCCTTCCTCTCCTCCCCGCTGACCATAAACTTGGCAGGGCTGCAGGTAGCTGGGCCCCTGCTCCCTACACAGGGCCCTCAGGTCTGGCCCATGGATGCTCGCTCACCTTTGTAATCGGCAGCTACTCAGCTCCTGGATGCACTGTAGCTGCCAAGGGGTCAGGGGCTGGGTCCAAAGTACTGGCCTGAGACTCTGAAACTGTTCCACAGAGAATGTGAGCGGCTGACTCCCCTTACCCAGGGGTCCTGACCGAGGTGTCTTATGTGGACAATGCCTGTGGGCACAACACTGGCCACTTTGGTCATCCCCGAACCTATAGTGCCTGGCCAACACTGTAATGGTTTGTTGGATGAATGACTAAGTATCTGCCTAAGGCATTCCTTCAGAAAAATCTAAGCATTCTCAGTGGGGTGGATAAGCCCCCAAGGTCCTCCCTCCCACCTCTCCCTTCCCTCTTGACAATGTTGCACTTAACTGTTTTGGCTCCAAGGACATGAGCCACGATGTACTCACTGGATGCCTGGGCCTCAGGGATGCCCCTCTTCTCAAAGATTGCCGTCCAGTGACTGACCAGCTCTGTGGCATTCAACAACCCAGGTAGAGGCCGATGGGGTCGCCATGAGCTGAAGGCCCAGCCCCGAGTGCCTCCCCTCCTCCCCAGGCCAGACAGGAAGGCCTGCAGCATTCTACCCCAAAACTCCATGTCTCAGAAGAATGCTTCCCTGAGCGCTCCCAGGTCTCCAAGTCTTCCTTATGATGCCAGCTGCTGAGGATGATCACTGGCCCTGGCTGGGTGAAGATGGAGAGATCAGAGGCTCTGGCTCCTCCAAGTGGCTCTAGTCCTTAGATGTGCTGCCACCCTGGCAGAGGGAAGGAGAACCAGGAGAGCAGCTGAGCATTGTGCAACTCGCTCCCCTCTCACCTGATGCCTGACAGAGGGCATGCTCTTGCTCTGTCACCTCCTTGACTCCATTTTAGCTCACCCACCTATTTGATTCTCCTGGTCTTGACCAGCGATGGTTTCTTCATGCTTTTGGCTGAAGTGGGCTGAACCCATAGCTCAGTCCCTGCTAATAAATGGGCTGCTGGTGAGTCAGGGCCCAGGCTTGGGAGTTGGACAGATCTGTTTGTCTCAGAGTGTGTGACCTTGGGAAGTCATTATTTCTGAGTTTCAATTTCTTTGTCCGTAAAATGGGGAGGGAACACCAACTTCATGACAAGTGGTACATTAGTCAACGAATGTCAAGGGTTTGGGAGCCAAGTCAACAGACAGAAGGGACTCAATGTTATATGCTCTTAACTAATATTACAAGGAGGAGGAGGCTGCCTTTGCTTGGGGGTTTTGCTTTTGATATTTTGCTTGTACTGTCATTGATTTGGATGCTGAACTCTCCCCCCCCCCAATTTAACCCCAAATACTACATGTTAGCACAAATCGAAAGCTAAAAAATTAACAATTTTTGTTAATTTTATATTTGTTACCATCAACAAGTTTAACTGAAGGTTTAAATCGTGGTCCCTTTCCTTTCACATAGGCCAAGGCCCAAACAAGCGTTTATTGAGCACTTACTAGGTGCCACATCTTCAGACAAGCAGGGATGAAAAGGAGGCTTGCCCAAAGTCACCCAACTAGGAACTGTCCCAGGCAAGGCATAAACCCAGGTCCTCCGGACTACAGAGGAGGCTCTGTCCACCTGAGCGCTGCCCCAAAGGCCGAGGCCTGAAGTTAGCGGCGCGGCTTCCCCTTTCAGTCCAGCACGGCAATGTTAATGACCTAAGTGAGGTCGCCTCTCCGCAAGTCTATTTCCCCATATGCACAACAGGGAGTGGGAGGGGGTCTCGAAGGTGTTGCAATCCAGGCGACTCTGTTCCCGATCCCCACCTCTAGCTCATACCTGCCTGGGGGAAGGAGGGTACCCGACCCGCCCACCGGCCTGGAGAAACGACTCCAGGATCGGCTCCCGGACGTGTGTGGCCCGCAGTGAGCTCCGTCGGACGCCCTGCTTCCGGGGTTGGCGCAGCTGAGAAAGGGCTCGGGCGGAGCCCATCGCTCAGCTCTAGGGTTCCTAGAGCTACTTGGTTTCTAAGGGGAGGCTGTGAACACCACGCCCGCTGTGAACGCCACGCCCACTATTCCCGCAGACCGAGAAAGTGCACAACAGTGTAGGTTTGCTCCCTGGGGGTCTAGACCTATCAGTCTCCCTGAAGGTCACGGCTGAGATACGACTCCAGCCCGCGGTGACTGCTCCGAGCTGGCGTTTGGCTATCCGGCCGGGTCGGTATGTAGCCAGCCGGAAAGGAGGAGTGTAACCAGCCGGTCAAGGGTTCGAGAATGGGCGCGATGTCCAGGGGCGTGGTCTAACAGAGCCTCTGGGCGAGTAGAGCCGCATGTGGGCGGGTCCCAATGTTGGGGCGGGTCCCAATTTGTGGGGCGGGACCCAGTGTCCAGGACCAGAGGGAGTGGCCCTAGCCGCGCCGGGGGGCCAGGTGGAGACTGGAACCCCGGGCGGCCCTAACTCCTCGCTCCCGCTTTAGGGTTTGGAGCAGGGAGCTCGAAACCGGACGTAGGAGACCAGGATTTGAATCCTGACTCTGTTGCCAGCTGTCGTGAGGCTTTGTCCAGATGACCGGCCCTCAGTGAGCCTCAGCTGCTGCTTCTATAAAATTCGTGGTAGTGTCCGCAAAGTGTAGCCTGCCAGCACCCTCTCCTCCCACCAGAGCCTCTTGTTAACTAGATCATTGTTCACCAAACTACTATTAAACATGCAGTTTACCGGGCTCCGTCCCAGACTCGGGGAGCCGCGGGGAACAGTATTTGTAACAAGCTACTTCGGTGATCCCCATAAACTCTTTGAAAACCTGAAGATTAGAAGATATCTGAAGGCCTCTCCCCTGGGCTGATCGCGCCCCGGATGGAGGCTATTTATTGTGAGGGGTATATATAGGCTTGCCTGAGTCGGGGTACCCAATAATTACCACTCCAAGAAAAATAATATCTTGCTCCTAACTTCTCTGAAGATGCCCCATTTCTGGTCCGGGGTGGGTGTCGTTTACCGAGAGCCCTCACACCAGAGCCCTTCTGAGCAGGAAGCCGAGACCCAGGGAAGGGGAGCATCTTGCTCTAGGTCACAGGGCCAGTAGAGGAGGGTCCAGCCATAGTTCAACGCAGGCCCGAGGACTCCCAGTCCAGTGTTCTCCCCAAGCCTCCTGCGTCCGTCTGTGTTATGGGAGCGCGAATCTTTCCTGGCAGAGGTGGAGCCCGGGCTGGCCCAAGAAGGGTCTGGCCACCCGTGGTGACCGCGGACTCCGGTAAAGGCCACCAGGAGGGATGGTCTCCAAGAACTACCACAGGCTCCCGCTGGAGGCGGAGCCAGCTCCGAGCGACAGGCGAGCGGGCCAATGCCGGACGGTCTCTAGGCCTGACAGCCAATCGGGGGCCGGGGATCGGGTGTGCGGAGCCGGCAAGAAGAAGAGGCACTGAAGCGTCACCCACCAGAGAGGCTGGTCGCCTCAGCCCCACCCCCGCGGTGGGTCCCGGCCCTGCCTGTCCCCCGCCAGGCTGGCAGAGCCCGCGCTCGCGGCTGCAGGAGGTGCGGCGGAGCGGACTCAGCCCGCGGATCGGAGGGTGCAGGGAGCGCGGACCCGGGGCTTGGGGGATCTCCCCGCCCTGGCCTCCCGCCTGTCGCCACCACCGCTAGCCTGTCCGGCTGAGCTTGGCGCCCCAGGATTAAGTAAGTGCTGAGGTCGCCGCTTCTGTGCAGAATGGAGGAATCACAGAGTCGCGGAGTAGGGGATGGGGATCGGGGCAGGGAGGACTGAAGAACCTAGTTGAGAATGGTATGCGGATTCTCGGAGGTCGCAGTGCCCACCCCTTTCACTCCGGTTTCCTTCTCTTGCCCTTTGGACCCTGAGGCAGTCTCGGACAGTGATGAGCAGGGCCTTTCCTCTCCTTTGGACACAGGAGTAAACAGAGCCCCAGAGCAAGAGTTAAGGGTCTGGTCCAAGGTCACTCCTGGGGTCAGTGGCAGAGCCAAGAAAGAACCTGGGACTCCTGACCTGCCCAGCCTAGCTGGAGGGAGAGAGCAGAGAGTCATGAGCCCCTCTTATCCCATGTCTGTCTGCCAGCCCTGCCCCTTCCTGGGGGGGGCATCACAGGTGTATGCACACCTCACACATGCCCCTGCACCTGCGCAGGGAGGCACCCCACATATACCCATGAGCTAGCATAGGAAGGTATGTGTGCAGCCATAAGTTGTGTATCCCTCCTCTCCCTAGACCTGCCTTGCAGCTTGGCTGGGACCCCTTCCCACCCTGCCTTACCCAGGGCTCTCTGGCCTGGCAAGGCCTAAGCCACACCCTGGGCTGGACACATCTCCCACCCTCTGCTCCCAAGGGAGAAGAGAAGGGGAAGAGAAGTCATCTCAGAGTAAAAGCTCCATCCCTGCCTCTGAAGTTATGATCCCCTGCTTTTCGCCTTGTTCCAGGCAGCCACTAGCTCCCCCAAAAGGTATCCAGTGACCCCAAGAGCCTGCAGAGAAGCCTTGCCAGAGGATCTGACTTTAGCCTCTCCTTTCTGTACTCTGGTCTTGCCATACCTGTCCCCAACCCCACTCAACCTGGCTGAGTCCAGGGGCTGCTGTGCCTCCCCTTTCCCAAGTGGGTTGATAGGGCGGTGGGGGGTGTGGGGAGAGGGAGATCTAACATTTACTGGGTGCTTACTGTGGACAGGGGTTGTGCTGATCTGAGTCTTTTCGACGAACTAGTTCATTCTGACATTTCAGTGACCCTCTGACCCTGTGAGGGAGGTGTTCTTAATATCTCCACCTTAGACTCAGGAAAATTGACACACAGAGAGATGGAGTGACTTGCCTAGGGTCATTCAGTTAAGTGGCTGAGCTGGAATTCAAAGACAGGCCTGTCCGACTCTTAGGCAAGTGTTTCTTTCCAGAAAAGGAAAAAGCTGCAGTATTCTTTTCTCTAAGCAGGAGGTGAGGGCTGTGGGGGCAGGGAATGAGAAGGAGGTCAGGAGCATGGGGAGGAGAGGATGGAGTAGGGTATTATGCACGGGAGAAACTTTTTGTTTTCAAACCTCCCCACTACCTTTCACATCTTCCAAGTATGATCACTATGGTCATCTTACCCACGAAGAGGGGGCAGGGCTTCATTTTCACGTTCTTAAATTCATATGAGAACTGTAGATACATAAACCACATGTCCCAACACCCCCTAAACTTGCCCTTGCCCTCCAACTTTTATTTCCCCAGTGCCTTGAGAATTTAGGGGGCCTTCATCTCACCACCAAGTCCCATCTTCAGCCTTATATTTTTTATTCTTTCCTTTCCAGCACCCAGGGAGGCAGAAAGTTCCCTTTATCCAAGGAGGTGGCCACTGACACAGGTAGCAGGGCCACAGGCTGGGACACTCCTGATGTCAGACGTGAGTGGGCAGGTTGACTGACCACAGGCAGTCTCTCAGCATCAGCATGAACTCCAGGATCCCGTCTACTAAGGGCTGGTTCAGCAGCCGCCCACCCACCTCTGAGCCTAGCCTCGAGCCTGTCACAGATGGACCAGCCTCTGAAACCACCGTGCTCAGCCCAGAAGCCACCAGCTTTAATGACACCAGAATCCCTGACGTAGTTGGTAGCACAGCCGGCGTGGGCACAATGCTTCTGTCCTTTGGGATCATCACAGTGATTGGCCTCGCTGTGGCCATGGTGAGAGCTGGGACAGGCTGGGGCTGGCCCAGGTGGTCCTCAGTTGCAGGAGAGTGGTCAGTGTTTAGATTTTAGAGAACCTAATCAAAGACAGTTGTCTGTTAATGATAGTGCAATCATCCCCTTCCCCCAGGATTTGTCCACTGGGGCCCAGAGACCAAGGAGGCTGTCTCCATTTGGAAGAACCAGAGTAGGTTCTGAGAAATTCATGGTGTTTTGAACTGGGCCATGGAGGTCACATTGGAGTTGGGGAGGACAGTGTACCAGGTGGAGTTTCCTGGTGGGCAAAAGTTTGGAGCCAGGCAGGAGGTTCTGTGAGCAGCAAGCAGGACCGTGAGGCAAGTGAGTGTGGGGTGCAATAAAATTAGAGGCCGAGGTGATTGGGATAGGCTGCGGAATGTGGAGTCTGGGTGGGATGCTCTGAGCATGGCAGGCCGCTGGCAGTGTTCATTAATTCATTCACTTCACAATTACTTATGGGGCACCTGCCCTAGATCCAGCCTTTGGGACCCCAGGGACAAGGGAGACAAGGTCCTGCCCTGTGGTTCTTATTGGGAGTGGGAGACACATAAAACCAAAGGTGCCAAGGGACACCCATAGGGACTGGGCTGGGAAATTGGATGGGGGCTCTTTCTAGGCCGGGTGGCAGAAACAACTGAGGAGACAACATTAGACAACTCAAGGCCTGGTCCCAGTGTCACAAGAGATGCAGAGCTGGACAGATATCAGAACGGAGGTGCAGTGGGCTGAGGGTTGCAGGTGTCCTCTGATGGTGGATAGGATGCTTCCAGATCTGTTATCTGCCCCTGAAGATAATGGGCTTTTCCTCCAGGATGATACATGGACATTCAGAATGTCACTGAGGGGCCACTAGAGGTTATGCAGGCTGAGACCAGGAAGGGTGAGGGTACACCTGAGGTCCCCCAGCGGGCCTGACAATGGTGGCATTCTGCCCACTGCCCCTCACAGGCTCTGATGGCTGGCCTCAGACTCAGGAGCATATTGGCCTGACAAACAAAGCATATTGCTCATCCAGGGCTGTGGATGGTCCATCCATGGCCTGCCTGGAGCTTCTGTTAAATCAGAGTCACCATATGGGCCCTGCGGGCTCCAGATCGCTGCCAGGAAACAACTGCTGGCCAGCAAGCAGGGCCAGGATGCAACACACAGAGTGAGGCAGTCTCCTGGGGAGGGGGTGAGGCACAACGCCAGGGCTTTCCCTTGGCACCCATGCAACGGTTAAACAGACTGAAACACCCTAATCTCAGGGCCAAGCAGGGCCTATAATCTGCCCTTATAACTCTCCATGAAAGGTTTATCCCAGGACCTTGGGAGGACTGCCTTGTTCTTTGTTCTGGAGGAACATTCAGAGGGCCTTCTTGCCAAAAGCGGAGACATAGGGAGGTTATGGGGCAAAGGCAGTAGAAGACAGGAAATAGCTCCTGGGTACCAGTGGACAGGCCCAGGGATGTTCCCTGAGTGCTGCTTCCTCTCCCCTCATGTCATGCCTGAGCTGGGCCCTGCTGGATACAAGGAGGAGCAAATCAGTGCCAAGCTGTGTCCCACACAGGAGAAGCAGTCAGGGAGGGCTTCCTGGAGGAGGTGGGGCTGCAGCTGCTCAGTTATGGGTGAGCAGTTAAGATTTGGAAAGGAATATCTTGGGGTTCCCCAGAAGCAAGCAGCAGGAGGAGCTCTGGGCCAGGCTGGAAATCAGACCAGATTCAAGCTATGAATGGGCTACAAATGGTGAGGGAGCCACAGAGGGTTTGGGCCAGACTAGGGATGTGGCTGTCTCCTAGGCAAAAGATGGTGCTCCTGGCAGTCAGAAATGGCCAGTTTAGGGAAGAGCAAGATGATGGCAGAGGTCCCCGGAGTCCCTACCTGGTGGTCATCCCCTTCCTCCCTCCTCTCGGTGCTTTGTACCAGGATTTCCTGTTCCAGCCCAGAGCTCTTAGGTCTTGGATGTGTTCTCAGGCTGCCTGAGTGAGCCTTTATTTTCAAGTCTGTACATGGGGGTTAAGACCCAGGGGCCTTCTTCAGTTCCTCCAGCATCGGGGTACTGGAGTATGGTCTGGGCTGATGTCCAGGGGCTCAGGCCCTATCCACTGAGAGCCACCAGCCTCCCTTGGCAACCCCAGGAACACAGTCCGGAGCCTTGCCTACAGGCACTGCCTACCTCCTGTTCTTTTTGCCCATTCATGTCTTTGGGCCCGGGGAGAGTTGAGAGGAGGGGATATGCTGAAGTCTTCCCCTTCCCTTCAGCCCTGAGGAGTCCCAGGCAGGTGCTGAGCGCCTGGAGCGGTGGTCAGGATTGGCAGAGGTGGGGCTCCTCTGCTCCCAGGCTAGGCCTGACTGTGGTCTTCCCAAGCCGGGCTCCTCGAGGGCAGGCCTTCTCGCCACCTCCGAGTCCAGGCACTGTCAGCCTCTAATAAACCTCAAAATGTAGGGTGTATGTCTCCCTGGGGTGGGTCCCTGAGTGCAGCCTCAGCGTGCCCCCCGTCCGAGGGACTGCTGGCTTCATCAGGGCCTCCTTTCCTGGCCATTTGATGCTGCCCTTCTCTTGCAGGTTTTATACATCAGGAAGAAGAAGAGGTAACTCCCCAGCTGCCACCCAAAACTCCAGGCCGTGGGTCGTGCTGGGCCAGGCTCAGGGGATATGGGTGGGGAAGGAGAGCCCCTACCATCAGCGCCCCCTCCCTGGTCAGGAAGTCAGGGCTTCTTCTGCCCACTAAGGGTTGGGGGAGGCCACTTTCTCCCGAGGAGGGTTGAGCGCCCTGCGCCTCCAGGATCTCACACACAGGGCAGGCAGGTGTGACCCTGGGATTGGGGATGGGTGAGGAGGGGAGGGGAGGAGAAGGTCGGGATTACCTCCAACCAACTGGCCAGCCACCCTTGCCCTGTTGCCCCGAGGTAACTGCCCCTGACTCCCCTCTCCTCAGCCCGGCCACCCAGAGGCTGTGGATTGCACGAGGCCCTGGCCTAGGCAGTCCCCATGGACCCCACAGATGATAGCTCTGTGGCCCACGGCCCTATCTGGTCCCAGGAATGGGTAACTATGCCTCCCAGACCACCCATCTGAGAGGTAGAACTGCTACTATAGGTGCAAAATGGCTTTCATTTTATCCCAAGGGAAGTCTTAGGCCCCTAAATGTGGTTGTGTGCTGTGGCCCAGCTGGTCACCAGGCTTGGAGGGCTGGTGGGAGGGGAAGGGCCTGCCCCGCCCCCAGCAGCCTCTGCCCCCACCCCCAGGCTGGAGAAGCTACACCACCAGCTCATGCCCATGTACAGCTTCGACCCCACCGAGGAACAAGATGAACTGGAGCAGGAGCTGCTGGAGCACGGGCGGGATGCTGCCTCTGTGCAGGCAGCCACCTCTGCGCAGACCCTGCAAGGCAAGGTGGGCACTGACAAGGCTCCCCCCAGCCTGCAGCCTGCTCAGGACTCTTCTGCCCCCCTCCCCCCTTTCCCATGCAGCTTTCCAGCACTTGCCATGTGGTCAGGTGGCAGCTGTCAGGTATATGAGCTTTGTCAGGTTTGTTTAGAAACTGGTAGGATCCTTCCGCGGCCACCCACAGACTCACCTTGCAAGGCCAGGGCAGCCCTGGGATCCAGCCCAGCTCTGCCCCAATAGCCTGGTGGTCTGGGAAGCCCACTGGCTTCTCTGAGCCTCAGTCTTCTCATCTGCAAGCGAAAATCCTAGTTGTTGTCCTGTGTGTCCCACGTACTGGCTAGGGAAAGAAAGGACTGTTAGAAGACATTGTTGGGGGCTGAGCCCCTGGGTTCCTCTGCTCCCTGACAGTCCGTCATCCTGAGTAGATTGTGGTTGGGGTCACTTAGGGCAGTGCCACCTCTGAGTAGATTGATAGGTTCCTAGTACCTGACAGACCCCAGGCAGGTGGAGAACCAGCCAAACTCGCCTCCTGTATCCAAAGGGTCAGGTACATGTGTGGTCATCCTGCCAGAGCCATTGGCTGCCTAGCCACTTGCCACCAGTCCCCAAAATCCTCAAGGGCCAGAGCACCATGACAAGACCTGCTCTCCTGACCTATGAAGCCCCTTTTCATCCCTCCTTCCCTTTACCCCACAGGTTGCTGGGGGCGTCTAGCCCTACCAGAGGCATAATTAGGAGACTGGACTCAGGAAAAGTTCAGGCTGGGAATCCAGAGACCCCTGGTTTTGCCACCAGCCCCGTGTCACCTAGATTAGGACACATTCCCCTCAGTCAGGAAATCAGGCAGAGAACCTTAGTCCACCCAGTCCATATGACTGCTGACCATTTGACAGCTGTTTCCTGTGCACCCGCCCCCCTGCTGGGGTTTGGGATGTGAGGTGAGCCCTGCTGTGCTAGGAGAGGGCGGTACACATGCATAATTAATCCAGCCCCTGGGTCCACAGGGCAAGTTCTGCCCGGGCAAGCTGGGGATGGCTGTGGGGGAGGAGTCATCTGAGCCAGGTCAAATTTCTAGGCTGAGCTTGTAGGGAGGACATTCCAGGCTGAAAGCATAGCTGGTGCCAAATGTAAGCAGGCACCGGGAAGTGAGGGTGGAGGTGACTGGACCAGAGAGTGTATGGCCTTGGTCAAGGTCCCTGATGCCTCTGACTGTCTCTCTGCAGACCACTCTCCCCTCTCAGGGCCCCCTACAGAGGCCCAGCCGGCTGGTGTTCACCGACGTAGCCAACGCCATCCACGCGTGAGCGGCCCAAGGACAGGCCCGGATCTCTGATGAAGACACCTGCCTCCGTGCCCACAATGCTGCCTGTTCTCAGGACCCGCCCTACTGAGGTCCCAGCTGTTGCGAGGACCCACCTGCTGACTCTCCAGGCTCGAATAGAGGCCCCTAGCCAGGCTGGGCCTCTGGCCACTGACGTCCCCTGATGTAAGAGCCCCTAGCATGGAGGGCATCCCTCCTGTCAGAAAGGTTGAGAGCCATTGCTGGCTTCCTTGTGTCCTGCCCAGACCCCTCACATCAGGGTCTGCTCCTCTAAAGTGGAAGACGAAGTGGGGGAGACATGGGATGGGAGAGGGAGGGGTGTAGGGAGGGTAGTTCCCTCTGTCAGAGAGAGACCTGTCTTTGGAATCTGGAGCCTCTGGGGTGGGAGAGGTAACCCACCACCCAGGTCTCGGGGACAGGGTATGGTGGCAGCCCGGGATGGAGCTGAGCAAGGACACCAGGAGGAGGGCCGCTCATACCCAAAGTAGGTCCATATTACAGAGTGTCTGTGAGGTCTTCCAGCCACCCTTCCCTGGCAGCCAGCTGTTGGTTGAACCCAAGCTAGGATGGGAGCTGAGGCAGAAGGGAAGTGGGGGGACAGCACCCAGGCCTGCTGTAAGGCCTCATGCGTGTGCATGAACATGCCCATGTGCAGACGTGTGCCTGTCCCAGCACAGGGGGCAGGATGCAGACCCCCTGCATTGGCTCCACCCTCTATTCGCCCCGACCCCCAGGTGTGTGGAGGAGCGTGGGGTAGGCCATCTTCTCTGCCGTCAATGTTCAGGGACTGAAGGGAGAGGGAAGCACAGGAGTGAGGGTGCCACTTCCCACCGCATCTCTTCACTGGGCTCTAAAAGCCAGAGAAACCTGCTCCTATAGACTGGGGAGCCGGGGCTGGAGGGGGTGCGGAGGCTGTTGGTATGAGGGCCATGGTCACAGGCTGCGGGCTAGCTAGTGAGGATGTTCTGCCTGCCAGAAACAGACCTAAGAAACCTAGTCTGTTGTTTTTTTTTATCACATTGTCCACCCACCCCATGCCCCTCAGGGATTCTACCCGTCTGGGGCATCTGGGCAAGGCACTGGTCCAAGCTAAACCCCAAGAGCTGGGCACTTTTTCTACACTGGGCGTGCAGCGCCCATGAACACGCACAGAAGCATGCCCCCGTGCCCAGCCTCACCACTGTCCTGCGCTGGTTGGAGGGGACGTGGGGGCGGCATGTACAAATCTGTTGGGCAGATACCACGTGTCAGGATGTGTGGGCCTAGGTGGCCCACATGGGGAAGATTCTGGATTTATTCCCTCCTCTAGATGCTATAAATACGTTATCACTTGAACCGACTGGAGGGCTGCGGGTAATTTAGGATGCACAGAAGCTGTAATTTAACTCACAGCATCTCCATGTGAGAGCATTAAAGATGTTATTAAGATGTTTACACGAAAAGAATGTGAGCCTGGGACACTTGGGGTGCGAACGCCAGAAAGGGCGGGATAGGGGAGGCTGTGGGGGCCTGGGGATAGTCGCTTGGATCCCAACGCTGTGGTGGCAGCCCAGGCGGTTTTCCTTGATCCATCTGATGACATGCCTCTGGCCTGAAGTTCAAAGCTGCTCCTGGGCTCGTGTCAACTGTGGAATGGGGTCGTAATGCCTGCCATCCCCTTGGATGGAAAGGCCAAGTGAACGGGAGTTTGTGGGGCCAGAGGAGGGGAGGAGGGGAGGCACCTTGGGACGCATGGAAGCTGGGTCTGAAACACAAAAGGGGACAAAATAATGCGGTCTTTCCTGGAGCACAAGGGTGCAGGGGATGGGTGGGGGTGGGAAGCCAGAAGGGGTACGTGTGTGGAACCCACCTGCAGGGTTCAGAAGGGTTTAGGGGAGAATGACACTAGGGTGACCAACCATCCTGGTTTTCTCAGGACTGTCCCCATTTTAGCATTGAAAGTCCCACAAACCAGGACTATAAGTGACCCAGACCCTCCCTTAGAGAGCTGAGCCTTCAGGCTAACGTAAGTGGAAACAAGGAGGGGGTGAGCCCCCCAGTTCCATGATGGAGGCCTGGGCTAGAGGTGGGGGCTGCAGGACAGGGCCTTGGGTAAGGGTGAGGGCCGCCCACACTGAGGTCAGACAGCTGGGCCTATCAGGGACAGCCCTGGTCTTAGGGAGGGGTCTTCCCTCCCCAGACTGGCAGAATTCCTGGGGTGAGAAGAGAAGGGGTGGGCAAGCTGGGCACTCCCATCCTTTTGGGTAGCTCCTCACCCCAAGAATGTGGGAGCTGCAGAAGACCCAGTGTCTGGGGGGCCCTAAAAAACGACCTGTGGGGGTGGCCAGTTGGCTCAGTTGGTTACAGCACAGTGCTCATAACACCAAGGTTGCTGGTTCGATCCCCGCATGGACCACTGAGTTGTGCCTTCCACAACTAGATTGAAACAACTACTTGACCTGCAGCTGATGGGTTCTGAAAAAACACACTGTTCCCCAATAAAAATAACACACACACACACACACACACACACACACACACACACGAAAGGACCTGCAGAGTAAAGCTGGCACCCAAGGGCCGGGGATGGGGGCTCCAGGAGGATCCCGGTCCCCATTTTCTCCCACTGCCTGCCTCATACCCCTTTTCTGCAGGCAGGCTTAGCTAAGCGACAGGCACAGGGCAGCTTTCTGTGGGTAACGGGAACCGCTTCCTCATCCCTTGTCCCCTCAGTCACTTTCTCTTCCCTTCCACCCACCTGTTTTCTAGCTCTTCCCCAGGCCTGGAGGAAAACCAAATCCCCCACAAGTTCCCAGGTCTTCCACAGAGTATGGAATCAATAAATATGAAAGGGTGGAACGTTTTAGTTGACATGTCCTCCTTGTGACCTTGGGCCTGGTGGGCTGATCAGAACTCTCCCCACTGCCCTCAGCCAGGCAGACGGAGCAAAATAGAGCCACCCACCTGCCATTACTGCTCCTGAAATTCACTGTTAAAGGGGACCCCTCGGGAAATGCCCCCTGCCCGACATGCACACACATAGATAAGTGAAACACCTCCTCATGAATAGCGGGCAAGGCTTCAGGGCAGAAGCTGCGGCATTTGCACTGTGGGTAGGATCAGGGTGGACGTAGATGGGCGCCTTCCGAAGAGGCCATCTTGTTTAATAAAGTGAAGTGTCACCTTCGAGCAAAGCGAATACAATAATCCCATTGTCTGGCTGCAGGCAGACACTAGGGACGCCTTCAGAATGTAAAGGAAAGTTCTTGTGGGAGCGAGCCCAGAAACTCCAGTAGAGCAGTCTGACCTTGACATGAATTCCTTTTAGAAACATCAGCGAGCCCCGCCGCGGGCCCAGCACCGTGGTCCTGTCAGTGAACCTGTCTAGTCACTGCATCTCCGTTTGAGATGGGAGGAGACAGATGTCAAACAGGAAAAAAGAATGAGTGTATGTGTATGTGTGTGTTGTGTGTGTGTGTGTGTGCACACACACACAACACACACATTCGCTATATGTTTATATCTATATATCTACATCTACAGCTGTCCCTCGGTATCCTCAGGGGCTGGTCACTGGGTGCCAGCATCTCTCACCTGGGGCTGTCCAGGCCCCATTGATCACTGTCAAGGAGCACCCAGTCTCCCAATCTCTCACACCACTAGTCCAGCTTCTGCCTTCCTGGATGGCAACGTGGATGGCTGTGCCCACCTTCTGGGTTTTCTCTGATGTTTCCCAGTGACGTCCAGCCTGAGGCCCAGCTAGTCCCCAGTTGCCCCTGGGGCCTGGCCTGTGAGAATGTAGAGAGGGCACAACAGCAGATGTCCCAGCCCTTGGAGCTGACCAGCCTCTTGTCCTCTGACCACTGGTCAAACGGGAGAGGAAGGAAGTGTCCACCCTGGCTGGTCCCATCTACCTAGCCCCCAGTGCACTTCTGTTGGAGGCCTGGAGGCCTGGGTTAGGAGGAGGAGTCAGCTTACTTCCTAGGGGTACAGCAAGTGATAAAGGGGCTTGGGGTAATAACAATGCCAATAATAATGATGATGATGATGATAATAACAACATGTGATTTATTGAGCTCATGCCATGTGCCAGACACAGTGGACCAGCTCATGAAGGGAGGACCAGGTCAGTCCTCCCCGCTGCCAGAAGGACTTCCCTTCACCTCACAGGTATCCAGGACTAAACAACGGCCAGAAGGGGCCTTGGTCGTGGGCCTTGGGCTACCTCAAGGGCCAGAATCTGGCCCTAGTACCAGTTACCCTCAACTGGCACAATCCCAGCACAATCTTACTTTATTCCCAGTGCCCTTTGCGAGGCACTGTCACCCATCTTAAAGAGAAGCGGTCCAGCGCCCAGAGGCTGGCGTCATCAGTCTCAGAGCCAGGGACTCAGCTCTTCTACACCATTCCAGAAAGGAGTCAGGAACAGGAGGGTGGTGGGGCCTGACCGGGGCACTGCAGACATCCTTCCTGCCCCCCCACCCTCAGCCAGGACACCTGTGCAGAGGTCCCATCCTCACATCCCTCCCCTACACTCAGCCTCTCCCCCATGTGGTATTGAAAGCAGCCCTCACACCGAAGGCCCTGTCACAGGGCTCATCTGTCAGGCTCAGGACTAGGGTGAGTGAACAGAGGCCTAGGATTCAAAACATAAGGAGCTGCTCACTCAGGCGCTGACACAGCGCTTGACCAACCTGAGCGTGAGTGCTTCCTTAAACGAGGGCCTTGCGTGCCTCGCTTGCCTCATCCTAATCCCAGCCCTGCCACCCTGGCCTCTCTTGGTCAGGGCTCAGCAAGCAGAACCCCTACCCCACCCCATTCCCATGCCAGGAGGCCCAGCTTTGAGAGTGTGGGCCCCCTGCCCTGGCTGGAGCGCGCCAAGATGCCCTTTGCCTGAAAGTGGCTAAGAACACCAGATTAGGAGAGACTCAGGGACTTAGCAGTGACTCGATACCAGGCCAATAAGGTGACCTTCTGAAGTCCTGGGTGACGGAGGAGGGCAGGATTCCTGCTGCAAGTCCCTGTGGGTGGGTCAGACCAAGTCTGTGTGCGTGAGCCTCCCAGGGCACTAGCAGGCAGAATCAGAGCCCATTAATCCCGCAGCAACCCCAGATCGTGGGCACCACTTGTGTCCTCATACTGCAGATGGGGAAACTGAGGCATGGAGCAATAGGATTGCTTAGTGTGTGGCAGGCCCTGGATTTGACACGAGGTGGTTAACCCCAGAGCTCACATCCAAGACTCCCAAAGAAGGAAAGAATGTTCTCTGAAGACAGAGCTGCCCCCTCCTCTCACCACTCATTAATTCTCTTCAAATGCTCCCAATTCTTCTACACCAGGCTCTCTGCTGGACTCTGGAGCAGAGGGGCACCCAGATGGGGCAGGCCTTGGAAGAATCCCACCCAGCATGAGAGCCAGAACAGCAACGCTGACAGCCACAACACATCCCTCACCAGGAAACAAGAGATGCAAGTGAGATGGCAGGAGAACTCAGAGGGGGACTCATCACTTCTGACTGGGGACAGGGCAAGGCTTTCATTGTGCTGGGCCTTGCACTGGGTTTGGACATAAGGTAACGAGACATTTCAGGCTGGGCAGGAGGCAAGATATAGTGGATGGTGGACTTCCTCACAAGCAGGACACTAACGATGGGGATCTCACCAGGTGACCCCACAAACATGGAGAGCCCACAATGCACTGGGCCAGCCCTACGTGCCACACCCACGCTGCCTCTCTACTGAGTACAGTACCCCCTTGTCTGGCAGGCTGGCGCTGGTGGGGGAGTGGGTCTGTCAAACATTGCTCTGCGAGAATCCCCAGGCCAATGGTGCTGCCGAATGATTCCCCCAGAGAAACCACACCTATCTTCACTCCCTCCAGAGGGACCCAGGATGCCTGTTCCCACCCCCAAAGCTGACCTCCCCAAAGCTGAGTGGGCGGAGTGCCCGCAATTTCCCTAAGTGGAGGGAGGCAACGGCACTGTGTTTGGAGCCCTTCCCAATGTGACCACGAGGTGGCGGTGCAGGCCCAGGTTATGGGGTAAGGGGTTATGAGGCCAGGGTGGTGGTGGTGGGGAGGTGCCCTGAGTGAAATTTGGCCTTGAGGCCTTTTTTCAGGAATCTGGGTGGCGGATGCACGGAAGCTGTTTGCTTTCTCCCTGCCAGGAACCGGTCTGGATGGGAGCTGAGTCAGGGCTGTGGCCTGAGCCTCCTGAATGGAGCCTCACGCATAGTAGGTGTTCAGGGCAGTTTATTGAGCGAAGGGTTGACAAGTGGGTCTTGTCTCATGGCAATTAAGTGAGCTCATATAGAAAAAGCAAGTCAAGGGTCTTCAATAAATGTATGTAGTTACTTGTACTTTTATTATGGAGAATGATTCTTCCCAGAGTATGGACAGGGCCCCAGGGGCCTCCCAACCACTTTGGGTTTAGGGGATCTAAGCTGTGAGCCCCAC